TGTGTGTGTGTGTGTGTGTGTGTGTGTGTGTGTGTGTGTGTGTGTGTGTGTGTGTGTGTGTGTGTGTGTGTTTAGGACCAATTCTGAGTCCAGCTTCTCCACAGACCCCAGCTGCTTAGAGATGCGCACAGCACCTCCTCCCAGGGCACCCCGCCTCTTCTCAAGGAAGGAGGGAACAGGGAAACAGCGAGCGGCTTTCTTTTTGAACCCAGCTCTGGCTTCCTCATTCTGAGAAGCTCACCAGCAGCTTCTTTTCTGCTGCACTTGCAGGCTTCCCAAGTGCTGCCAGCCTTACACTGTAAGGCTGTGCTCTGTGGGGGACATTGTCCTGACACCATGCACACTGAACTTGTATGTTTACACAGAATCCCCACTAAAGGGGCACCCCAGGTTGGGGGACCCTGAGGAGGGTAAGGAGTCCTGGGGTCTCTGTTGAGGGAGTTTGGGAAGGAGCCATCATAGGAGGTAATCTCTTCCTTGAAAAGTTCAACTTGAGTGCTCTGGATTTACTTATTCACCACGGCACGTAAGCTGTAAAGCGATCCTGATGATTATAACGATAGTAACCCTGGTGGTGGTGGTGGTGGTGGTGCTGAGGATTTTTCGGTTCCTACGCTTCCTTCCCTGGCCTTCTCTCTCATCCCCAGCCCCTCTGCCCCCCTCAGTGCCTCTCAGCCACTCTCTTGTAACAAATTCCTCCCCTTCCTCTCCCCAGAGCCACTCCTGCTCTCTAAGTCCCCTGTCTTCCCAGGTCTTCCTCTCCTACTGCAAGCTGACCCTCTCCCACTGTGGGTACCATTCACTACACAGAGGCTAGGAAATGCCCCTGGAGGCTTTTTGGTGCTGTCGTTGTAAATATGAGCTAATAATGGACTAGCTCACAGAAATATTAAAGCATCGAAATAATCAAATCAGTGCTTTTTTTAAACTTATTTTATTTTTGGCTCCTTTGGGTCTTTGCTGCACGTGGGCTTTCTCTAGCTGCAGCGAGTGGGAGCCACTCTTTGCTGCGGTGCGTGGGTTTCTCACTGCAGTGGCCTCCCTTGCTGCAGAGCACCAGCTCCAGGCACGCGGGCCTCAGTAATCGTGGCACACGGGCTCAGTAGCTGTGGCTTGCAGGCTGTAGAGCACAGGCTTAGTAGTTGTGGCCCACGGGCCTAGTTGCTCCGTGACACATGGAATCTTCCCGGACCAGGGCTCAAACCCGTGTCCTCTGCCTTGGCAGGCAGATTCCTAACCACTGTGCCACCAGGGAAGCCCCAAATTAGTATTTTTAATAACATTGAGCCGGCATGACCATTGACATAACTCCTGATGATCTGGAATCCAAACAATTAAAATACTGTCTTTTCCTCCATTATACCAAATAGCATTGATTAATGTTCATTATTATAACTCTGGTAGCCTGCAGGGAAGATTCAGATGCGCCTTCTAAATCATCATAAAGAGGTTCAGTAGACGTTTCCTCAGACACGTGTGGCTCGCCCCCTCACTTCCTTCAGCTCTTTGTTCAAATGTCACCTTCTTGAAGGCTTTCTCAAATGACCCTAATGAAAATGGCATTTTTCCCTGCCTCTCCCCAACCCCTCACGTTCCTGATACCCATTCCTGATCTATTTTTCTTCATAGTGCTTACCAGCAATTCAAATAATATCTATTTTATTCATTTATCTGCATATTATGTCTTGCACAGAAATGCACGCACACACACACACACACACACACAAGCACTTGAATAAGCTCCATGAGAGCAAAGATTTTGTTTACTTTGGCTATTGTTGCGTCCCAGTGACTAAAAAAGTCACTGGCACATAGGAAGCACTCAAATATTTGTATAGCACATAAAACATGGTTTCATTGGACCTGTCATGTGTCCTCTTTGGGGCACCTGGGATTCCACAGGCACATTATCTCTATTTTTGTAGTACACAATGCCTGATGCAGAGAGGGACCACACACATTTGTAAACAAATTAGTAAAAATGGTATTTGGAGATTAAATACAACAAAAGAAATATATAGGGTGCTGAGACAGAGAATGTGACAGCAGAGACCTACCAAGTCAGATTCGGTGGTTGTCAGAGAGGGCCTTTTGGTGATGACATTGAAGTTGAGATGAAGAATGAGATGGCTTGATACCATTCAGCAGAGGAAACCCCCATTCCCCAGTCACCTGGGATGAGTGAGTGTGGTACCCAACATCAAAGGACCTGAAGAGAAGAATGGAGAAGAAATTCTTAGTCTGAATTTCTGGGTTCCACCTCCATTCAACTATTGATTAGCTGAAGGATCTTGAAAGATCACACAAGCTCTGAGTCTCCCTTTGCTTAAAATGGGGATGAGAACACCTACCTCACAGGTGTAAGTTATATTAGATAATGTATGTGAAAAGTCTTAAGTGTAAAATGCATGCCTGGTATTGTGATAGGTAAATGGATAAGTACTGTAAACTGTACCGTTGGAGTGTGAATTTCCCACTGGCCTTGAGGACGCTGAAGCTAAAGCTTGTCCTCTGGTGTACTTAGGCCAAAGGAACCAAAGCGTGGCAAAGCCTGATGCCATTCACTGGTGAAGCCTTTGTGCTGCTAGGCATCTGTCTTGTTTCAGATAGTGTCATGCCTGTGTCTTGGGAGACTTCTGCCACAGCGTCCGGGCGCCGTGGCTCCCTAACCCAAGTCTCGTGAGAGGAGTGGGAGAAACTCTTCTATGCTGAGGGGTCTCTCTAAGAGCTGCCCTCATCTGCTCCCACTGCTAGAACCTGTCTCTGAGACCCAAAGGATAACCTGATATATTTGTCCCAACGGTACCTACCAGGACTCAAAAGACAAACTGGACTTTGCTTGTGTTTTCTGCTGGCCTCAGGACAGCCTGCGGACGTCAGTGCAAAGCAAACCCACAAGTCAGAGAGAAGGCAGGAGGGAAAGAGGGGACGGGCCTGGGGCAAACGGAGGGGAAAGAGGGGCCGGTCCTGGGACAAGCGGAGGATGCGGGGAGCTCTGGACTTTGAGGAGACGAGGAGGGCGAGGGGACGGAGAGGTGGGGGAAGGAGCGCTGGGGTGTGGGCGCAAGGCGGAGAGGGCGGGAACGGAGAGGAGAGGAGGAGGGCGAGGAGGGAAGGGCCGCGGGGAAAGGAAGGACACGCGCAGACTGGCAGAGAGGGGCGGACGCGAGGCCGGCGGCTGCCGGGGAGGAGCGGGCGGCGGCCCCGGGGGGCGCGGGGCGGGGCGGCGCTGTCAGCGCGAGGCGGCGAGCGGAATGCAGCGGCCGGAGGCCTGGCCACGTCCGCACCCGGGGGAGGGGGCCGCG